CTTCCCACCCCTCCCCGACATGGCCATAGACTTTAGGGGAAGCTGATTCCACCTCCAGCTTCAAGTATACTATAAACCCAAATTTGACTAAGCCAAAGAAAGTATCCCACTCCCCCTGCCCCAGTGATTGGTTCAGGTATGAGCATGTGAGCCTCTTTATGGTCAATAAACACACCTGATTCTCACTTGGGTGTGATGAAGAAGCTACTGGCTTCTAGCAGAAAGAAGCCAGGGATGCTGCTAGACATTGTACAATGCACAGGACAGCCCCCACAGCAAAGACTCATCCAGCCCTGTCAACAGTGCTGACGTGGAGAAACCCTGGTCCAAACAGAGAGCTGTGGGTAATCAACTCTCTTCCTCAGCAGGCAAGGATAAGGAAGCTTCAGCCTCAATGGCTACTGCTGACCATCCCCTGACCACTCAGGGAACCAGCCTTGGCTTGAAGCTGGTACTGGGGGAGCAGACTGGAGCACTGGAAAGAGCTGGGGATCCATGATGTCACCGCTGAGTCACAGGCTCCCCCTCTGGGTATCCGGCTACATGAGCCTTTAAACTTCCTATTGGTAAACCACTCTTTAACTGGGGTCTCTGCTACTTGCAGCCAGGAGCATTTTGATAGATTAGGAAAGAGAAAAAAGAAGAGACAAAGAGAAAGGATGTGTGGTAAACAGAATAATACCCCCTCAATCCATCCCTGTCAAAAATCTTCATGTCCTAATCCCCAGAATCCTGACTATGTTACCTTACATAGCAAACGAGAGCTCTGCAGATGGGATTAAACCAAGCAGTGTGACAAGAAGGGATTATCCTGCATTATCTGGTGGGTGCAAAGTAGTCGCAAGGACTCTCATAAGGGAAAGAAGGAGGCTGGAGGGTCAGAGAGGAAATGTGACAACAAAAGCAGACGGTGAAACGATGTGTTTTAACAAGAAGGAAGGCACCCGAGCCAAGGAATGCAGGCAGCTTCTAGAAGATAGAAAAGGCAAGGAAACAGACTCTTTCCTAGAGCCCCCAGAAATAATGCAGCTCTGAAAATACCTCGATTTTAACCCATAAGACCCATTCAGACTTTTCACCTCCAGAACTGTAAGATAATACATTTGTATTATTTTAAGCCACTAAGTTTCTGGTAATTTCTTATAGCAGCTATAGGAAACTAACACAGCATGGTGATTACAATATCCAAAATAAGATGTCAGGAATAATTACAAATTTATTTAAGTATCAATAGTTAAATAAATATGGGACGGGTTGAATCCACACATTAGATCTCATAGGCTATCAGATTGGATTTTTTTTTTTTTTTTCTGAGACAGAGTCTCACTCTGTTGCCCGGGCTAGAGTGAGTGCCGTGGCGTCAGCCTAGCTCACAGCAACCTCAAACTCCTGGGCTTAAGTATGCTTCTGCCTCAGCCTCCCGAGTAGCTGGGACTACAGGCATGCGCCACCATGCCCGGCTAATTTTTTCTATATATTTTTAGTTGTCTGATTAATTTCTTTCTATTTTTAGTAGAGACGGGGTCTCGCTCTTGCTCAGGCTGGCTTCGAACTCCTGAGCTCAAGCAATCCGCCCGCCTCGGCCTCCCAGAGAGCTAGGATTATAGGCGTGAGCCACCGCGCCCAGCCTCAGATTGGATTTTTTAAAAAAAACTCCAGCTATATGTCATTCATGAGAGGTATATCTAAAACAAAATGACACAGGTTGTGGGACTATATACACCTAGTATCTCAGTTATCCATCACAGTGTAACAAACCATCCCCCAAATTTAATGACTTAAAGTAACAAGCAGGACCACTGCGCAGGTCTTCCACTGGTCTCCCCGGGGGTCACTCACACAGCTGCAGTCGTCTAAGGTGGTCTTACACAGCTCATGCTGGCTGTTGGCCAGTCTTTCTCTCCACGTGGTCTCTCGTCCTCAAGGCCGCTAGCCCGGGCTTCTGCACATGGTGGCAGCAGCGTTCCAGGTGATGAGATCAGCAGCTGCAAAATCTGGTGAGGACTAGACTCAGATGTCCCACATCAGTTTTGCTGCTTTCTGTATTCAAAGCAAGTCACAATGCCAGCCATGATTCAACAGATGGGGAAATGGACTTCATCTCTTAATGGAAGAGCGGCAAAGTCACACTACAAGAAATATGGATTCGGGCAGGGAAGGGGTTATTGTGGCATCTTTGTGATCAATTTAACATACCTGGAAAATACTAACACACAAAGCAGGTGTAGCAATATTAATATGAGACAAAATTGAAGTCAAGGTGAAAAGAAACTAAGAGGAAAAATTTCTTAGTGGTAAAAGAAACACTACACCGAGAAAATAAAATAATTACGAGGATGTTTTCACCTAACAACAGAGATTCAAAATATGTAAAGCAAAATCTGTTAAAATATAAGGAGAAATTGACCCAAAAAATTAACCTCTCTTAGAAACCAAAATATTAACCAGTTAACAAAATAAGGATCAAGACTACTGGAGTAAACAGTAGCTTGATCTAATAGAAATATTTAGAACTACATTCTAAGCAGAGAATATACATTCACAAAAATTGACCATAGGCTAAGCTACCAAAAAAAAAAAAGCTTAACGCGTCTCTCCCCCCAAAAATACTACAACATAGACCATCTTCTCTTGCCACAATGCAATAAAGTGAGACATGAAAAACAAAACAAAATGATAGCCAAACAAAAAACAAACCAACATATTTCTAGAAAAATTTAAACAGACTTATAAATAAGTCAAATTAAAAAGTTAGCAGGGCCAGAACCTAGATTTCCAAATAACTAGTACCGTTCATGATCTGGCCCTGTTATTCATATAAAGCTATTTGTTCTTAAATGTCTGCTGAATTATATGAAAGGGTGGGCAAGTGAGAGGGACAGGGAGACAGAGACAGACAAAGACAGACCAAGGTGGGCTGAGAAAGGGATCGTCTGGAGCAACTAGTTCAGGTATCGAAGAATTAAAGGATAAGATAGATTTCACCAGCCAGATTCAGCAAAGCCTAGAAGCACTGACCCGTCTCAGTGACCTGGAGGTACCAGCGCCATCTAGGGGAAGCCAGAGCAAGACAGCAGCAAGCAGGACAGGCAGTGATGAGCTTGGATCGTAGGGTATGTGCAGTTTGCGTCTGATTCTGTGGTGTAAATGAGCTGCTGTGTGCAGAGGAGAAAGGTGGCTCCTGAGGGTAAACTCCAGAAACTAGAAGGGGCCCACGGGTCACTATCCAGAAGGATTCCAGATGGCTCAGACTCAACAATGGCAGAGCACGCAGATAAAATGGGAACTGTTCATTTTCTCAACATTGGAGCCAAATGGTGCCCAACACCCAAGCTAGTCTTGCCATCTGAGTAGATGAGATGTGGTGTTTTATCTACGCAGCACGAATCAGAGGGCATATTTGATAGTGATTACACAGCAGTAGTTTAGCCTATGTATAGGTTTAATCTGGATAATTCAGACCCTAAAAATTCTACTTGTGGACTCAATTATTCATGTTATTTGACTACACCAATTCAAATACAGGGTAACTATCATTTTTCCTTTGTACTATATAACAGAACATCTGTTGGGCTGGAATCATTTTTTTTATCTTTGAGTGCGAATTCATTCATGCCTTCATCCACCCACCTATCCATCCCTCCATTTAACAAACATCCAGAGCAAACCTAACACATCACAGATCCTTGGTGTTTCATGTGTCATTGTTTACATCTCCTCTGATTACTCATTGAGAAAAATAAAGAAGGTGGTGTGAGTTATTTAGGTGCTAAACAATACTGTAGGGAGAAATGCTCAGTTAAAATGTTGTAAATAAATAAGTAAAAAGAAAAAGGAGAGAGAAAAAGAAGAAAAAAGGTGCGGGGGGGCGTGGGGGGTGTGGAGGAAACGGGAGGATCCCAGCCGAGCTGGGTGGGAATCCTGTTTGGCATTTGTCTGGGTTTTGACTTCTGCTTGCACCAGGGGAGTCTGCGAGTCTGAAATTCTGAGAAAACCAGCCCAGCCAGGTAGCAGGGAGGGGGCCCGATGGGCTGGAAGGGAAGAGTTGGAGGAGGTTAGAGTTTCTTAAATTCTCTAGCCTGGATTCTGGTGTCGGAGGCCGGAGCCATGTTCCTTCTCCCCCACCTCCCACCTCCCACTCCACCTTCCTCCAGTTTTCCTAAGAATTCTGAGTCCTAAAGAAAGAGGAAGAGGAGGTGTCAGATTGCCTCGCCTCCTCCGCACCAAGCCGCTTCCTCCCACCTCCAACAGCCTCCACCTCCCCGGCCTTCAAGGATAACCGTGCTAGGGCCCCTCAGGCGGGGCGGTAATCATTAAACGCAGGTTTGTCTGTCCCCTCTGCCCCCTCCTCCGAGATTTATGAGGGCGGGGACACTGAGGGCCCTTGTCCGCATCCGTAAAATTCCTCATAGAATAGTATGCAAGCTGAGTAAATTCCTAAGACACGTAAAGAGCTCAAAACAGTGCCAGACACCTCCTCAGTGTCCACCGCAACGCTGGTGCTGAGGACAGCGTCTCTCCTGGGAGGAGCCCCTCCGTCCCTGTTCTGCGCTGGGAGGCTCCCGCAGCGCTGTACTTACAACTGCTTCCCCCTCCCGCCGCACTCAGTACATCTGGGGACTCTGCCCCGACCTCTGTCCTCGTGAAAGCAGAGGGTACTGACACTAATCAGGGCCCGCGGCGGCCGCTGGACATGTTTTCGTTCCATGCGCGCGGCAGCCCGGAGCGGCTGTGCTGTCATCCCCATTTTCCAGACAAGAAAACGGAGGCTTAAATCCAGTGCCAGCACCATGTACTCAAGCGCTCGCGTATTTGGGGGGGGGGGCCGGAGGGCTCCCTGGGTTCCCCTGGGGACAAGTGACCTGGACCCCGTGTCCCGCTCCCACCTGCGGCGCGGGTGTGCGGGCCGGGCTGGCGGAGCAGCGCGAGGGCGAGGGCGCGGGGCAGCTCGCTCCAGCCAAAGTCGGCGAGAGGCGGAACCGCGGGGCCCCGCGCCAGCCACCGCGGGGTCGTGTGGGATTGCTCCAACTTTTGAACCCAGGGCAGCGGATTAATGAGGCGGCCTGGAAGCGGCGGGGCGGAGCGCGGCTCTCAGACCTCTCGGCGGGAGAAAGCAGAAGACGCTTCCCCGGGCGCCATGCAGCGCCCCGTGGCCGTGCGGTCGTGGGTGGAGGAGAACCGGGCCTCCTTCCTGCCCCCGGTCTGCAACAAGCTCATGTGAGTCCCAGGCGCCCCGGCACCCTCCCCCGCTGTCCTCTCCTCCTCCGTCTGCGTCCTTACACTCCAGCGCCCAGCTCCTTGACCCAGATGGCTGCAGAAGGGCGGCTGTGATTCTCAAGGTGTCTTCAGGGGAAGGCGAGGACAGGCTGTTCCGGTTCCACCACCCTGGGTCTGTTCCCCTTTCTGGTGACTCTAGTGGCTGTGCCTTCTGAGGAAGGCTGAGGTGCCTCTGAGGCTGTGGGAGATACGAGATGGCAGGACGGGCCCCTTCCTTCAGGGCCGAGAAACTTCTCTGCAACCCCAAGCGGCTCAGTGCACTTTGGGGAAACTCAGAAATTTGGGGAGGGTGGTTTTCAATGCCCCAGAATTTCAGTGGAACTTAGGTCTGGGGACAGCCAAATCAAACACCCTGACCATGTCCAGGAAGCTGCAGGCAAAGGTGAAGTCAGAGGACCAGCTTCTTTGGCAGGATCTTGATTTATTGCTCTTCTGGGGAGTCCTCTTTGCGGGCACGCAGCACACGCACCCACACCCAGCCCTCCCTAGGCCACCTCTACCCGTAGCATCCAACAGGGTTGGCCTGTCCAGTCGGCCATCTTTCTCTGGCAGACCCCTTAGGCCTTCCCCCATGGCCCTGTCACCTCCTTCCCCTTCCCTCTGCTCCATGGCTGGGCCTCATGTGGTCGCCAGATCCAGGCTCACATTCCTCATGTTTGCTGTGTCCACAGGACATCTCCAGTGAGGAGGCACCTCAAACCAGACAGCTGCAATCACTGACACTTGCTTAGGCCAAAACTGTGCCAAGTGTTTTTGCATTACCACCTGTAATTCTCACAGTAGCCCCATGCAGTGGGATGTTACAATAGTCAGCAACTTTCCCAGGGTTACCGAGCTAGTGCTGGACAGGCTCCAGACTCAAGGCCATGGAACAGTTTGACTCCAAAGTCCACACATGCTCTTGGGCACTGTGCAATACTGCCACGGCTAACAGTCAGCATGTCCCCTGAGATCTCTTCTACCATGCTGTCGCCTCCAACTCAAAGCTTTACCATCTTTTGCCTCCTTTCTCCACTTTGTCCCTGTCTGCAGTCTCATTCTCAGTCCACCAATTTCTGCCCCTGATGGTGTCTCACATCCATCTGCTCCTTTCGAGCCCACGGCCACTGCTCTGGTTCCACCTTCGTCACCTCCAGCTGAGGCAGTACTGGCTGCCCTGCCTCCAGACCTGCCACCCAGCCCTCCACAAGCACAGGCCCTCCCTTTATTCATTCAACAGATGTTCACTGAACACCTACTACATGCCAGGCTGTTCCAGACACGGAGGGTACAACAGGCAACGAACTAACAAAAACCCCTTCCCTTGTGTAGCTGACATTCTGGTGGAAGGAGGCAGCCCATAAATATCAAGAAACAAGGAGTGGAGGCCAAGGCAGGCAGACTGGGAGACCTCAGGTCAGAGAAAGGACTGGCCTTGTGCCTGGTATCTGTTTGCTAGGGCTCTGCGGGGAACTCTGCCCCAGACCTATCCCCCAGCTTCTGGTGGTTTGCTGGCATCACCGGTGTTCCGTGGCTTCTGCTGATCATGCCAATCTCCACGTCATCCCCTCAAGGCCTTCTCCCTGGGCATGCATGTGTCTGGGTCCACAGTCCCCCTTCATAAAAGAACACCAGTCACAGTGGATGATTCGGGGCCCACTCTACTCCAGGATAACCTCGTTCTCACGCAGCTAATTACATCTCGAGGCCCCTGTTTCCAAGTCAAGTCACATTCTACGGTACTGGGAGTTACAACTTCAACATAGGAATTTGGGAAGGGGGGACACAGTTCAGCCCATAACCCCCCTCCCCCGCAGTGAGATGAGAAGCTGCTGGTCTTGGGCAGAGGAGTGACATCTGGCTTATGCATTCTGACTGGTTGCTTGAAATAGTTCTTGAGAGAACTTGTTCCAGAGTTTTCCATATGTACCTGAATTATATCTCAGTGAAGTTGATTAAAAAAAAAAAAGACTTTCGAGGCTCCCTGGCAACCCTCAGACCAAGACCAAACTCCTTGGTGGTCCCCCTCCTAATCCAGCCTTCTCACCATTACTCCCCAAGACCACCGCACACCACCAGGACCCCCGGTGCGTCCAGTCTGCACCCCACCTCTCCGGCCAAGTACCTCACAGCTTTTCCCCACTCCGGAAGCGCTGTGCCGCTCTAACTCATTCAAGCTCATGTGATGTGTGTGCCTGTGATTGCAGCTACTGGGGAGGCCCGGGTGGGAGGATCGCTTGAGCCCAGGAGTTCTGGGCCAGCCTGGGCAGCATAAGAACACCTCCATCTCTACAAAAATAAAAAATAAACAAGTGTTTAAGCTCAGAACTGCCCCATGACACCCTCCTCCTGCCCCATAATCTCATCCATCTTTCCAAACAGTGGGTCATGACGGATGTTATTTGTTGCTCATTCCCAGAAGGGAAAGAAAAGAAAAGAGATTGTATCTTCTCTCCTGTCCCCATGTCCCACCCTGGGCTGAAAAACAGCCCACAGGAGAGGACACTCAGCAAGGACTTACTGATCTAGGTTTGGGGGCTCAGACCCCCCCAGCCCCTCCCCTGCCATCCCCCAGCGTCGTCATGAGCGTAGCCTCTTCGCCGCGGTGGCCCGTGTGTACGAACTGTCCAGCCCCCAGCCCCAGCACCTCCTGTAATTAGAGACCTTGAGCACAGCCCAGGGATGCTGGTTGTTGGGTCAGAGGATGCGGGGGACACACAAAGAGGGACCTACACACACACACACACAATCCCAGACACAGAGACACTTACATGCACCTGGGCATGTGCTGAGTGAGAGTAGGGGAAACAGGGACAGCGATACAAACACAGCCCTGCTCCTTCTCCCGGGTGTACTCAACTCCCCCCCACCCCCCACCCCAACCCCTCTCCCCGGCCCCTTCTCCTCTCACTCCCAGGACATAGCTCAGGACTTCTCCCCTTCGTCCATTACAGGCACCAGGAGCAGCTCAAAATCATGTTCGTCGGGGGCCCCAACACCAGGAAGGACTACCACATCGAGGAGGGTGAAGAGGTGGGCTTGCAGACTGCCCCCAGGGAGGGGCACTTCTCACACAGGGGCCAGAGATTATGGCCTGGGGCGGGGTAGACACACAGTAGGAGGAGGGGCACAGCTGAAGTCCCGGGACAGCACTGCTGCCTTGGAGTTGGTGCATGCGCAGTGACACCTTAGAGCCTCCTGGAGGAGTCTGAGCCAGCAACCCTGCTGGGGAGCCCCAGAAAATAGCCCAGCCCCTGTGGGTGAGAGAGGCTCTAGGTGGAGCCCCCCACCCCACCCCGCCGCAGATACAGGGGCTGTCCATCCTCTGGTCCCTCCCCTAAACCTGACATACATGATGAGTCTCCAAAATGAGACTCAAGTATTGAGGGGGACCTGGGCACTCCCCCTGGTCCTGGGAGCCAGGTTCTCTGGGCAGTTTCTTCGCCTGTTTTCCAGGATCACAGAGCGGGATGGGCTGGGCTGGGGTGGGGAGGGGAGAGGGGTGAGCAGGGGACAAGCAAGTGGCTGAGGGGTGGGCTTGGGTGAGGGCCTGGGGCTGAGGGAGGGGTGGGGGTTGGCCCCTCCTTGACTGGAGGCTGCCAGACACAGGAGTTGCTAGGGGCTCTGGGGGGAGGCGGTTGGAAGGGAGATTTGCACTGAGTACCCTTTTGTACCTTTGGTTTTGAACTGTGTTTCTCTACTACCCACCCAAAATAAATGAAGAAAAGTAAAATTAAAAGAGAAAGGTGGGCCCCTAAGGAGAGACACAAACAGACTCTGGTGGAAAAAGATCAGTAGATGGGCCCCCATCATCTGGGGGGGCTCTGATTCTGGGGAGTTCAAGGTCCAGAGTCCAGCTGGATCAGCAGCCTCCATCCCCAGGGACAAGAGTGGCAGAACTGCTCATACACTTCGAGGCCTTTAGGAAGTTTCTGAGGTTTCCTGGGCAGAACTCTGGCCTGGGCAGTGGCCAAGGACCTGGAAGGTCCTGGAAGAGGAAGTAGGAAAGGTCTGAGCCTCTTCACCGTCCTACAGGTGTTTTGCCAGCTGGAGGGGGACATGGTTCTCCGAGTCCTGGAGCGAGGGAAACACCGGGATGTGGTCATTCGGCAGGGAGAGGTGAGGCTGGACCGCAGGGGTGGGGGAGGTGAAAGGCTGCCACAGCTGCAACCCACCCTGTGCACTGGGGCTGGCCCTGGCTGAGGTCTTGTCCTCCCTGCCTTTTCCTGCCTTCCTGCTCGCTCGCTCGTGCACCTGCCCCATCCTCGGGCACTTCCTCCTCTAGGCTTCCCCATCCTCAGCACAGCACGACATCCCCTCCGGTTCCCTGGTGTGGAGTTGGGCAAAGAGGAGGGCCCAGGTTGGACAAGCAGCGCCCCATGGGTCTGCGGGGGAAGCACAGGATGCTGGGCGCTGAGGTCTCCATGAGGGACCGCAGCCCTACCAGGCACCTTGTCTCCACCACTGCAGATATTCCTCCTGCCTGCCCGGGTGCCCCACTCGCCACAGAGGTTTGCCAACACCGTGGGGCTGGTGATTGAACGGAGGCGGCTGGAGACGGAGTTAGATGGGCTCAGGTAAATGCGCCCTGCAGCAGCAGTGGGGTGCAGCTCAGAACTGCAGCAGAAAGGACCCTAGAGAGGGCCACAGAGAGGGCCAGAGGGCTTCGCTGCGGGAGGCGATGGAGATCCTGTATTTGCTGGCCGATGGCGAGGGGCAGGGTGCAGTGGGTTCTGTTCTCTGGGACCCCCTGGGAGCCCACTCAGCCTGATGACCTGGCTGGAATCACCTGTTCTCTCTGCCTGAGGTCTGCTGGGACAGGGGGGACGTGGCAAGGAAGGTGGAGGGGCGCCAAAGCCGGATCCCCCTTCCCCAGTGCAAGTGGAACACTGATGCTTCTCCGGGTTTAGCGGTTTAGCGTCTCGGCCAGTGCCTCCCTCGGCTTCTCTGTCCCAGCTCATTCCACGACAAGCACTCACGTCGGATAGCAGTGGCTATGTGCCAGGCACTCGGCTAAGGGCTTTGTGTGTATTTATCCATGTAATCCTCCCAACTATCCTATGGGGTAGGTACTGTTACCATCTCTGCTTTACAGATGAAGAAACTGGGCACAGGGAAGTTGAATTTGCCAGAGCCTAACTTGCTAGGTCTGACATTGTAGAGAAATATGGAATTAGGGCCAGGACGGCATATACTTAGAGAGGAGTGTGAGTCAACACCAAGGAGGGGAAGAACACAGGCCCTGCTGTAGACACCGATTCTACAGCTGTGGTCCCATTTGGTTCTGGTAAGTCACATGATTATTGTTCTCTGAAAGGCAGTAGCAGCCTATAGCTCAGAGGAACAGAGATTTTTTCCAAAAGGTAAACTGCTTTTTGTATTTTTTAACTAAGAATATTTAAGTTTCCCTTGAAGTTATTGGGATCAGGATACTTGGGCCCACATCTTTTGTTATAATAGTTATTTTAAAAATGCCTCCTTTTTTCTAATTACCAAAGTCATATACGTCCACTCTCAAAATCTGGAAAAGTAGAGGAATACAAAGTGAACTAAGTTAAAATCACTTGTCACTAAAAAGGTAAATTTTATGGTATGTGAATTATATCTCAAGAAAAGAAAATAAAAAAAGGGAAAACAAAAATATTATTTGTCACGCCACCAATTAAACCTAACGGAGCACCTAAACTTCCATCTTGTCTTTTTTCCGTGTATACCCTACCTTACAACATTGAGTCTTATTGAATGCATAGGCTTGAGTTTTACTTCTTTTACTTAAATTCATGAGTATTTTTCATACTATTAAATCCTTTCAAAAAACACAATGGCTGTATAACAATCTACTGCATAATAGTCTGTTGTAGGGACAGATACCTGGCTTTAAATTCTAAAAGAAATTTCTCGCAAGGGGCTTTATATAGGGAGTCTTTGATGGAGAGGACGGCGTCCTCAATAACATTTTACAGCAAATTCAATAACGGATTTCATCTGGCTGCTTTTGACCTTTAATAAAAGCCAGGGACTTAACATTAAAATACCACTCTGAAGGCAGTTCCCGGAGGGCAGTGCAGTCCAGTTATGAAGGTTTCTGGTGGCCGGCTGCAGCCCAGGCTAGCATCCGGGCTGCCAGGTGGGCGGGTGCGCTGAGTGTTTGCAAGCCTTCTCCCATCAGCAGGACCGCTTCTCTTTCTTGGTAGGAGTTAAAGAGCAGACAGAGCTATCCTGGCCCTGGAATTAGGCATTCAGTTAACAGATGTTCCTGGCACCTGCCATGTGCTGCACCCACAGGGACCGGGGGCACAGCCCAGCCTGCCAGGCGCTCCTCAGGCCAGCGGAGGAACTTGCTGAGCCAAGCTAGGAGCAGGAGTGGGCTTTAGGGGGTCTACTGAAGGCTATGTGTCTGTGCAGGTGGGCCTTCCCCCAGAAGAGAGGTCCAATGCTTTGCTTCATTCCTCAAAAGCAATCGTGACCCTGAAAGGAGAAGAACCCCTCATTTGGGGGACGTCTTCTACATGTTCACTTCTAAGTTTCTGTGTACTCTGACCTAGAGCACCACAGCCTGGCAGAGCATCCAGCCACTGGCCCTGGTTTCGGGCTTAGCCTCAGCTTTCTCTTTGGGAAAAACAAAGACACTGGGGTTAGATGCTCTCTAAGCTTCTAAAACTGTCTCGAGGCTGGCCTGCTTCTGCCATTTACAGGCTGCATAATCCCTGACAAGTTGCCCAGCTTGTCTGAGCTCAGCATTCTATCTGCTTTGTAAATGGCTTAGTTTTGGGAGCCGGGAAGGACTACGCGAATGTTGTGGGTAACAGCCCTCCCACTTTGGGGGCACCCACCTGCTTCTGGAAGAGCCAGGTGCAAATGATCAAGCACTGACCACTAGGCTGTGCTAACGGGTGAAGCAGGCAGCCCAGCTCTGCAGGGCCAGCCTGAGCGAGCTTGCCCTGAAGGCACGCAGATGGGGAGCAGGGTTGCTTGTCCTCTGCTCTGACAGGTACTACATGGGGGACACCACGGACGTCCTGTTTGAGAAGTGGTTCTACTGCAAGGACCTTGGCACGCAGTTGGCCCCCATCATCCAGGAGTGAGCCCCAGCCCGGCCCCTGCCCTTGCTGTCCCGGGACTCCACAACAGCACCTGCTGGCCTGGGAGAAAGTCCCCCGGCCCAGTGCGGGGGGCCAGGACTGGAGAGCCCACTGGGGCGGGGGGAGGGACTGCTCCATGGGGCTGGGAGGAAAAGGATGGCAGGTGTACAAGTTGTATGAGGGCCCCGAGAGTGTGAGTGTGGTGTGTGTCCATGTGTGTCTCACTGCCCACTCAAGTGGGAATGCTCACCACTCCTCTCCTCCCTTCTCGTGCCTGCAGGTTCTTCAACTCTGAGCAGTGTAGAACAGGAAAGCCCATCCCTGGTGAGGCCCCTAGGAAGTACCTTTCTCCCTCCCTGCTTTCCCAGAGTAGGATGGGTCTTGGCCCAGGGTACCAGGGAGTCTGTTTTTGAATACTTTGTCCTGTACTCAAGATACTGAGAAGATGGCACCAAATTGTACCCCCACATGGCTGCTTGGTCACTGAGCTGGATTCAGAGCCTATTCCAGCAATTGAGAGCCGGGGCCCCTGGGAACTGGGCCCACCGGGGCTGGGTGGACTGGGCCCATAGGTCACTGACCATAGCCGTGCTGCGGGTACAGACCAGCTGCTCAAGAAGCCACCGTTCCCTCTGAGCACACGATCCATCATGGAGCCCATGTCCCTGGAGGCCTGGCTGGATGGTCACCGCAGGGAGCTGCAGGCGGGCACACCCCTCAGCCTGTTTGGGGACACCTATGAGACCAAGGTAATGCAGCCCTGGGCCACGCAGGGCATCCACCCAGCAGCCCCGGGAAACGGACACGCGTGCACACGTGAGCATAGGCCTTCCTGTTTCCTCCCTGACTCAGAGGATGATGGCTTTGCTCTGAGTGGATGTCCACGGAGGCTGTGTGGTCCCAGGCAATCTTCCTTTGCTTTCAGAGTGGGAGATCGCCCCATCTGACAGCTTCCTGAGAGTCTGTAGTTTCCCCCTGCTAGGAATTCCTGAGCCTCTGGCCAGTTACAGCCTCAGAAGCCCAGAAGGGAGAGGGTTGTTTGGGAGTGAGGTTTGGGTGGAGAGGTACAGAGAGATCCAAACAATGCTTCTTTCATTCAGCATTGATAAAGCGCCTGTTATGTTTCAGGCTTTGGTGGGAGAGTAGGATAGGATCGCTGCCTCAAAGAATGCATGTATGGCCTGTTCAAGGAGATGGACAAGTTAATCAACAATTGCCACAATTGTGTGATATATTATTTGATAGAGAAGCTATAGGAGGATAAAGGAGGAACTCAGGCTGAAAAGGAAGTCAAGGAAGGCTTCCTGGAAAAGGTGATATGCAAGTTGCATTTTAAAGCTAGCGTAGGAGTTTGCAAAAGAAAGAAAGAAAGGAAAGTGGTGAGGGCACTTCTAGGTGAGGGAGAAGCATGAGCAAAGGCACGGAGGCTCGAAACAGCTGGGCACTGAGAGCAGCTGAGGTTGGCGAGAGCCAGCGCAGGGGTGCGGGGGCTCAAGTGTGGTTGCAGAGCAGCAGGGCCAGGCCCTGGTGGGTCTGCTGGGCTGGCCGAGGTGGGAGGACCTGTCCCACCTGTCCCACCCACAACAGGGCTCCACCCAGTGTTGAAGCAGCGGAGTGATGAGGCCAGAGTGGTGTTTCAGAAAGCTCACTCCGTACCGAGTGTGGGGACAGGACGAGGACGGCGAGGGTGGAGGAAGCGAGTGTTCCCTTGTGCTTCACAGTCTGCCACATCTGGTGCGGTTTGAATTAGTCACCCCGTGGAGGGATGCTCATGATACAGGCCTCTAACCCAGGACAGTGAGAGCGGGCGCGCATTGAAGCCCCTCCCACCCCAACACGCAGTGTCACTCACACTGAGCTGCCTCCAGGGTCTTGCATCCCGCCCCCTTCATACTCCTGCTCCTACCTGCTTCAGTTTACACCAAGGAGCATCCACTGAGTCCCACTCTGGGCCAGCAGGACCACGGCCCACACAGCAGCTGAAGGCTTCTGGCTGATGCATGTCAGAGAAGCCTCAGCCTTGCTCTCCTCGTCACTCCTCCTCCTGAGGCCAGACTTGTCACATCTCACAGAGAAGAGGAGGTGGGCACCTCTGGGAAGCTGACCTGAGTGTGTCCCTAGTGTGCTCTGGTGGGCACAGCTTCACGTGAGCACACGTCCGAAGGACAAAAGGTGCACGCACGTGTGAAATCCAGGCGTGAGCCATCCCGAGTAACAGGTGGGCAGCACCTGTCGCAATGGCCTGCGGCCCAGGCAGCCTTTCTCTCCGCGCCCTGGTCTCTGCTTGGCACATGGTGATGGGGCTATTATGAGCCCCGCCACTGCCCCATGCAGGCCTGTCATCTGGGAACTAGTTTCAAGACTGTCTCCCATGTGGGGCAGGAAGCACCAGAAATTTCCATGTCACCTCCCACCAGGTGATTGCCCATGGACAAGGCAGCAGCAAAGTCTCGAGACAGGATGTGGACGTGTGGCTGTGGCAGCTGGCAAGTAGGGCCCCTGGTCCAGGGTGGTACAACCTCCAAGGAGATCAGATTGCTCCCGGGCCTTGGGCTCCCATGGTGGGACCTGCTCTCAGGGCCTCCTTGACAAGGAAGCCTTGGGGACATTCTGACAGATGTTGAGGCCCAACAGCATCCATTTGATCCTCCCCCTCCTCTTTCCCAGGAGGGCTCCTCGGTGGTGACGATGGAGGGACAACGCCTGAGCCTGAACCCTGATGCCAGCCTCCTGGTGCCAGCTGGGACCTCGTGAGTACATGGGGAGGACTTCCCGCAACGTGGGACTGCCCTCCTTTCCCTGAGATCCTCAGGGCCTCCTGGTCTGACCCCTGCTCATCTGTGTCTCCACAGGTATGCCTGGGAGCGAGCACGAGGCTCTGTGGCCCTGTCTGTGACCCAGGACCCTGCCTGCAAGAAGCCGCTGGGGTGACTCTCTTGCTGTGGGCCTGAGGCAGCCATGGGTGTGCCTGAGCGCCACCCGGAGCACCACACCTGCCGAACCACTCTCCTCGCCCCCGCCGCCTCTCTGTGCTGCTGCCGAGCCCCTCAGGGTCCCCCACGCCAGGCCCTGGACATCACCGTCATCCATCCTCCGCTGTTACCAGCCAGGATGCCAGGCTCCTGGGGGACCAGCAGCTCCCTTCTCCTCTAACAGCCTCAGCCCACTGCCCCGCCAGTCCTGTGGCACAGCTGCTGCTCCATCCCTCTGTCCCCACGGGCTCAGGGCAGCACTTGTCTCTACCAAAAAGGCCCTCAATAAAGGCTTCCTGCTAAATGAACACCTGTGGGTCTGCACAGGCTGTCGTCGATGGCTGACCCTGGGTGTCCCCCTGTGACTGTGTTCTGGGTCTGGGGTGTCAGGCCCCAGGTGACCATGGATGTCTTGGAGGGTCTGGTATTGGGTGTCCTGCCT